CCCTGAGACTACTGAATCTGGGAGAAAAGCCACCTGGCTTAACATCGAATAGGAAGTGAAAGACACAACATGTAATTTTATCAGTGGGGATTCCCAAGAAAGACATGGACAGATGAGGACTGTGCTGATTATTCACACTAGGAGGATCATAACACAGCTATGGACACTAGGGAGATGACAAAACTATGGAGCTGAGGACAAAACTGGATCATTCTCTCTCCCATTTAGGGTCTCAGTGAGTCTCCAGGATACTTGGTTTTTTTAAGTCAGAAAGTTGCATCAACTTCTTTAGTTCTAGTCAAAACAATATTTAAACATGGAAAGTCCTGCTTAAAAATAAACAAAGTAAATTGTTCTCCAGCCACAGAGATCCTGCTTATGGTCTCCACTAAAAGGAAGCAGGGCTCCTTGACCAACAGCTGGCTCCAGGACTAGAGATGGGAACAAACAAGATGAGTCTAGTACACGGTGTCAACCTGAGAACAAGACTGTCCCAGGAGACCACAAACACTGTGGCAGAAGACTGGGAAGGCAACCTGGAGGTGCTCCAGTGGGCCAAGGCACAGTGTGAGCAGTAATCAAGACGTCAAATATAAAGAACTAGCTTTTAGAGAAAACATCCTTGCCGCCTTTGAAAGTTTCACAGTAGGTCTGGAATAATAGCTAATAATTTAAGCTTACTGATCAAATTTATTCATCTAGCTGTACTTTTTCACAGGGTACCCCCCCACCCCCAGTAACAGACCTTTTTTCATTAGTTCATTCTTTTTTCATATGCATAGAAAAACTGGGGTACAGGCAAAGGAGCGGGGTTGGGGGTGTGAGAGGATTCACCAGAGATAAAGTGAAGAGCAGAACAGATCTACTAAAATACACTCCTGAGTGGAGAGGTCTGCTGCCTGCTGTGGGTCAGCTCCCTGCTGGGAGGTTTAGCTCAGGCACAGCCCCTCACTACCAGAGAGGTTCTTACTAGTTCATTCTTAAACAAAAACCTCACTGGTCTCATTACGGAGCAATAGACCAATCTGTGATTTTGTAAACAAGAAAATCAAACCCATGTACCAGGGGGCAACCAAATTGCACATGAGTCAAAGCTCTACTACAAGAATATTGCAGCTAATAAGTGAAAAATGAATGATAGAATATAGTCCTAATGAACTCCCAGTGAAGCAATGCATTAGGCATCAAGTAACAAAGGTCATTGACTTCCCTGCTAAAATAGAATTTTGATGGAAGAACAACTGATTGTATATTAAATAATCCTGTAAAAAACAAAAGGGGGGGGCATATTTATTGCTGCTTTATTTACAATAGGAAAGACATGGAATCAACCCAAATGCCCAAAAGTAGATGACTGGATTGAAAAGATGTGATACATATACACAATGGAATATTACCCAGCAATCAAAAAAGATAAACTCATGCAACATGGATAGAGCTGGAAGGGAGCATGCTTAGTGAAATAAGCCAGAAAGAAAAGGAAAAATACCAATGGTTTTACTCATAGTAGGAGTATAAAGGACCGGGGGGGAGGGGAATAATAATAATGAACAACTATATACCAGAGACATTTTATGGGGGTAGAGTGGGGAATAGGATCAAAAATGGGGGGGGGGAAGTGCACTGAACTATGGTGATGGCACACGGCACACAGGTAATTTGGTGATGGGAAGCCCAAGGGGATTACAACTGAGATGGAAAAAGGCACAAAATGATGTAAAAATAAATTATTATATCATTAAAAAAGGGGAGGGCATATAAATATGAGAAACCTGTAGATCCAATTACTACTTTATTGGAAATTCAGGACTACATTACAAGTATGCAATCAGAAAAGTCTAACTTATGGGATCAACTGAGAAGATTCTTTAACAAAAATAGATGTAAAATACATAGTGACCTACAGCTCTTGTACGTTAGAACAATTATAACATTTATGAGACAACTGGAAATCTGAGTACTGACTGGACACTTAATGATATTAAAGAATTGTCTTAGGTATAATAGACATCATAGGTATAATAAGGACACATTAAAACATCCACAATACCATCCTTTTTTTTTTTTTTTTAGAGACTGTCAGAAAATTGAAATTTCCTTTGGGAAATTTTGGAGTAGACTATCAATACAACAAAGTTATGAGGAATAATAAATCTCCCTTTCCTGGGAATATTATTCTTTCAAAAAAAGAAAAAAGATTCCCTGGGAACACTGAGAAAGTAGTAAGTTATCAACAATTCAATTTCTTCATCTTAAAAATGTCAAGTTGTAACAGGATGACAGAGGAAGTAATGACCAATAACATTCATCAAACTTTCCCAGTATCTTATGTCAGCACCAGAGGGGAATAAAAACTCATAGTTGGCAAGAGTCCATAGTGCCAAATCCTACTTACTACGAATTACTGCCAGGCTGGAAACCTTTCCGAAGAAAAGAGGCCTATTATTAAAAGATCTGCAAATCTGGAGTGGAAAAGTACAGCTACTACTATTTGATCTCTGCCTAATAACACTGACCTGCTATTCCATACCTAATTTAAAAACTGTCAGAAGAGGAAAAAAGAAGTTTCCTCTACAAAGCTAGTGGGATCCATTTTAGGGAGTTACTCTGGAGTCATAAATTCTCTATGTATCTCTAAGTCTCTACAAATTTTAGAATATCCTTTGAGGTATATCTATACAATGTGTATCTTTTTAGCTCTCCCATTTTGCTTCTATTGAAAATACACACAAGCCTATAGAAAATCACTTTTAAAACCCAAAGGACCCTCCCTGGTGGTGCAGCAGGTTAAATCACAACACTATCAAACTATCCAGAGCCACTGCGGCAGGCGGTCGATAACCAGCCAGGGAGGTGACCCACATGGCACAACAGACCTCTCCTTACCTGCCCACTGGTCCCCTCAGCAGCGTACTTCAATAGATCTGCCTGTTCTGCTCCCCACTCTGTCTCTGGTGAATCTTCTCACTGTCCATACCTCTGGCCTATACCCCAGTTCTTGTGTGCATAAATAAATAAATGTTAAAAAACAAACAAACAAAAAACACCACCATCTAGCTTCACAAGCCTCACATAGTGCTACTAAGGGCAAATTTCTGATATATCTTGCTTTATTGAATCATTAGTTCCTCAAACTTAAAAATCTGTCTTTGTGTAGACATTTCATTGTTCAAGAGAACAATAAATATATTGAGATTTTTTTTTTAAAGATTTATTTATTTGTACATACAGAACTGGGGTACAGGCCAGAGGCTCAGGGGCGGTGAGAGGCTTCACCAGAGACAGAGTGGGGAACAGAACAGGTAGATCGACGAAGTACACTGCTGAGGGGAGCAGCAGGCGGGTCAGGAGAGGTCTGCCACGCCATGTGGTCACCTCCGGGGCAGGCGGGAATCGAACTCATGCGGAAGCGGCCTTAGATTCTCAGTGCTGTGCTTTAACCCGCTGCACCACCAGGGAGGGCCAATATATTGAAATTTTTAAGAAATAAAGCAGGAAAAGTGAACTTCCTAAATACCCAAAAACTCAGAGAGGGAAAAAAATCATTTAATCCAGTACACCTATCCAAATCACAGTAATCATGAACTGCAATTTCTTTCCAGAGACTTACTAACCCCAGAGGAATTCTCAAAAGGGCTAAGTAAACGTGCATAATGTAATCAGTGGGCATAGTGGGCCCAGGAAGAGGCCCTCAGCACCTGGCTTGCTGGCCTTGTACATCTTTCCTTTTTTTTAAGATTTATTAGTTTATGCATACAGAACTGGGGTACAGGCTAGAGGTGCAGGTGCAGTAAGAGGATTCACCAGAGACAGAGTGGGGAGCTGAACAGGCAGATCGAGTGAAACACACTGTTGAGTGGAGCAATGGGTGGGTCAGGAGAGGTCTGCCAGGTCATGTGGGTCACCTTCCTTGCCAGGGATTGAGCTCATGCCAAAGCGGCTGCTGATAGTTTCATAGTGCTCGCTTTAACCCGTTGCGCCACCAGGAAGGCCTGGTAGGGCCTTTTCTTCAACAGCTGCTCATGAGGACTCGATTCTATTCAACAAATGTTTGATGAACATTTGTTTCATGTCTAACACGCTTTCCCTCAGCAACTCCGCAGTTCTCAATAAAGCCAGCTTGCAGCTATATACTTAATACAACATGAAACTGTTTAGTTCTCATTTTATATACAGAAAAATAAAGTCAGGGACAGGTAAAATCAGTTTACTAAGTAAGCACGCTACCAGAATTTAAAAAAAAAACACATTTTATAAATATATACACACACACACACACACATACATACCTGTATATATACACACAATACATATGTGTGTGTGTATAAATAAAACTTCAGTTCCAGTCTACACTTTACATACATTTATATTTACCCTCATCATCACAGGAAGGTTGCCTCCTAGAGAACTTAGTGTTTTCATCTTTACCTTGAGCCAGTTTATCTTTACCATACAGCAATTTCAAGATAATTTACATAAAGTACGAATGATTCCAGAGGCTCTTTCAGTGAAGACATATTCTCCAAAATCATATTTGATAGAGTTAAAATTCTAATTATGAACAGAATAGAGACCACGTAAATTAGTTTGCTAAGGTTCTTATACACAGGACACGTTCTAAACCTATAATAAGCTTTGTCATTCTTCAATACTTACAAAATTACACTTCTAAGTTTGACTTCATATGTGAAAAGATACAGTTACACTATGCAGAATGGAGGTCTAGAATTATATGTCATAGTTTAATGATTCATGTCAAAGATCCATAAATAAGGAGAAGGTACAGATATTATCTGTAATATTTTTAAAAATATACAGAGGCCGAGCCATCTAGATGTTTTTGAATATCCAACAAAGAAATGAAATTGCATCCAACTAAGATCCTTTCATGACTAATCAGCTCATGAAAATGTTTCACAGTAAGAACACAGCAAGTACTAGGAACATTTTGAAGCCATCACACAGGTGTGTGCAGATGTCCATACTGACATTACACCTACCGTAGTGTCATTGCTGGTAGCATAAACCAGGACATCGGAGGAGTTCCTGCTGTTGATGTAGCGGTAGCAGTTCCAAACACAGTTGATCAGGTAACCCTGAAAGTGAGGGGGATTATGGATCATCACTTTGCAATCTTCAGGCAATTTTAAACACCATAAGAGATGCAGCCATATTATAAAACTTGGATTTACACAAATTATAAATGCACTTAATAAGTATTAAACCAAAATAATGTGATTAAGCAAAAAACATGGACAGCTGTTGAGTACAGTAACTTCCTGGCAAAGACATCCTACTGTAGCATTGTTCTGCCACTTTACCCTGGGAGTTGCCAAGGGGCTGAGTGCAAAATGAGAAATTTCTTTTTTTTCAAAGATCAGTTCTTTGGTTTTCAATCCTTTCTATCACTTTTTTTCCCCTGTGACTTTTTAAAAAATTTTTATTTATTTACTTATGCATACAGAAATGGGTTATAAGCCAGAGGTGCAGGGGCAGTAAAAGACAGAGAGGAGAGCAGAGCAGGCAGATGGATTAAGTACACTGCTGAGGGGAGCAGTGGGCAGATCAGGAGGGGTCTGCCGTGCCATGTGGGTCACCTCCAGGGCCGGGGATTGAACTCGCACTGAGGCAGCTGCAGCCAGCTTGCAGTGCTGCGTCCTTACCCATTGCGCCACCAGGGAGGGCCCAGAAAAATGAGAAATTTCTAAGAAAAGGTAGTTGGAAGAAGCAACTTTACTCCCAAATTTATTCAGAAGCTACTGCTTCATTAATCAAAAGAAGAATAAAAAATGGCCCTCCCTGGTGGCGCAGCGGGTTAAAGCACTGCACTGAGAATCTAAAGCCACTTCCGCATGAGTTCGATTCCCGCCTGCCCCGGAGGTGACCACATGGTGTGGCAGACCTCTCCTGACCCACCCGCTGCTCCCCTCAGCAGTGTACTTCCTCGAGCTGCCTGTTCTGCTCCCCACTCTGTATCTGGTGAAGCCTCTCACCGCCCCTGAGCCTCTGGCCTGTACCCCAGTTCTGTATGCACAAATAAATAAATCTTAAAAAAAAAAAAAAATCTTTAAAAAAATAAAAAAAAAAGAAGAATAAAAAAAACCTTAGCACTTTTGAGAATTACAGTACAAATGAAAAAGGAATGTTTGAACTTCTGTGTTCTGTGAGGAGACTAGTTATCCACTGTTTTAGTAGTGAACAACAGATTCTTTAGGCAAGAACTCTTTTGAGTGTGAAGTCACCAGAATGACATTTTTAACAGAAAGGCCAAATGGCAGAAGGGAAGTCTCCAGAGTCTGGGGTTCACAGCCTGGCATTCCCCAGGGCCCCTTGAAATACCAGGTACATTCACTTACTAAACACTACAAAAAGGAAAATAAATCATGGTCCATTGTCTCTAAAAACCTATATTCCATTATTGTAGTGACCTTATTCTTACTTGACAGCTCTATAATTTCAACTAGAGAAACAAATATCTAATATATTTCTCAAGTAAATGTGTATTGACATACTACATCCATCATCTACTTGCCAGATGGTAAGCACTGCTCCTTTTACTTACGTCTTTGGACAGAATGAAACTACAAATGTCCTGGCTTGGGGACATGTAAATATTGAAATATTCAAATATTCAGAATGGTGTTTTATGGAGAAAACGTAGACCTAAATGATTTTCATTTTCTTGTCTTTTTTTTT